TGGGGAGAAGTACTAAAACTACCAGGCAGAGAACTAATAGCTTGTACTAGTCAGAGTCGTGCGAATATGCTAATATCAGCATTCGGCTGATCACGTCCTCGTGTAGTAAATAGGAGGCTTTGCTATTTCAGACGGTTAATGACTCGCCACAGATATTTTCTTGTTGAAGTGAAGATATATTTACTTACTAAAAGTTAGAACTGAAGAATAAGTGTCTTCTCATGTTTTCAAGGAATTCAATGTCTCTTTTGTCTACGGTCTACCTGAATATAGAAGAACTAGAGTGGTTTTCTCGAGAACTATGAAAATATGTACTACAACTTGACCACATCACGTATTTGAAAGGTCTCAATAAGTGAGGAAGAACTTCTCCTGTCCAATATATAGTGGCAATATCGGACAGGCTCATGAAATACAATAGAATCTGGGAGGATCTAAGTCTTACAGCTTTCAACTCTGGAGATAGTGAATTTATGAAGTCGCATTAGAAGCAATCGAAATCGCTAGTAGACTTAGGAGCAATTAAGTAAAAGCAGCAATAAGAATAATAGAGGTTCAGGATTTGCGTTGAGTTATAAATCTTCGTGCGACTCTGGATTACAGTTAGTAACGTCACTAGATTTATTAAAGAGTCGGCTGAAGAACTAACTGGACTGATTTTTCGCACAATTAGGTCAGTCAAGATTCGCACAGACAAGCAAAGCGGTCGCATCTACACCAAGAATTCGAGAATGTAAAGATGAGTGCCTAGAAGTAAAGGTCAGCCCACTGCTGTCGTAAGTAGATGTAAAACATTCCTACGAAAGGTCCACTGTTGTAGTTACACAGAAAGCTAGTTAGAGTCAACTACCGCAGTGATCGTGGTCAGCACCTCAGATGATGACATTGCTAATTAATATAGTTGCCCTCAAGTAGTGACGAAAAAAAAAGTTCTATCCGTCTCTTTTGAAGAGTAGCCTCAGACCCAGCGGCAGTAGGCATGCTCACCCAGTTACGAATAAAATGAAGAAGTGAATGATTTCCCCATGTTAACCCGGAGGAGGAGCCTCAGACCCAGCGGCAGTAGGTATCCTTCCCGGGGAGAATAGAATTGCAATATCTTGATGACGAATAGTACCCCACTACTAAAGGCTAGAACGCCGCAAACGAGCAACACCCCAATCATGGATCATGCGCGATGGATGTTTATCAAAATTATTGGGTTCTACAGCAAGTATTGATGCCTGTGCGCTTAAGCGTGAGTGTCTTGATGATAACAAAGCGGCAGACGGGGATGGCATACGCTAATATATTATCTGTGTCTCGAGATTTGTTGGAGGGGGAGAAAGCTTGTACTCTCTGACTTCATTTTGGGTTTGAAAGTCGTAAAACGATGGATGATGACAACTGATCATCGCAGTAGTTGCTGAGCAATGGATCTGAAAAAGAGTCACAAGTGGAAGGTTCGCTTAAAGACGCGAGGTGTATTTATGATGATCTAAGGTGATCTCCCAGTGATCAGTGCTGTGAGGATCTTGGAGAAGGTTTCTTCACCAGTGAAAAAGATCGCGATCCGTTCCAGGATGTTGGAGCTTCTTCAAATGAGGAAGTACTCTCTTGTCCAAATTTAATGATCAAGTAGCATTTGTATGAATTAGTTACAGAGGCCTAAGTCATCAACATCTCTATTCTAGGTACTTGAAGATGTCAAGGAGGCGCTGTTGAAGCTTCTCAACAACCAAAATGGCGGCAGCAAGGGGACTCCTCTTCCCTCAATGATGGCACGAAGGGGGAGGCATGGTATCCTCCTACAAAAAGCACTTTCGCCAAAAACCTTCGCCGAAACACGTCCCAACAGTCACGAAGTTGCGGAATATTGTCAATGGTTTGCTTATGGCGCAAAGGGCTTATGGAGCCCAACTTTGGCTGAGAAGATATTCGAGGAAGTGGGGGAAATGATTGTGGGGAAAATATGGCGTTGTTGAAACCTGGTGAAATTATGGTGGGATGTCTAAAAAAGGGGGGATCATGCGAAGGCTTCTGACTGTTTCATATTCATTGTGTTGGTGATGGGCATCTGAATGTGGGGACACACAAACCTTCGCCGAAACACGTCCCAACAGTCACGAAGTTGCGGAATATTGTCAATGGTTTGCTTATGGCGCAAAGGGCTTATGGAGCCCAACTTTGGCTGAGAAGATATTCGAGGAAGTGGGGGAAATGATTGTGGGGAAAATATGGCGTTGTTGAAACCTGGTGAAATTATGGTGGGATGTCTAAAAAAGGGGGGATCATGCGAAGGCTTCTGACTGTTTCATATTCATTGTGTTGGTGATGGGCATCTGAATGTGGGGACACACAAACCTTCGCCGAAACACGTCCCAACAGTCACGAAGTTGCGGAATATTGTCAATGGTTTGCTTATGGCGCAAAGGGCTTATGGAGCCCAACTTTGGCTGAGAAGATATTCGAGGAAGTGGGGGAAATGATTGTGGGGAAAATATGGCGTTGTTGAAACCTGGTGAAATTATGGTGGGATGTCTAAAAAAGGGGGGATCATGCGAAGGCTTCTGACTGTTTCATATTCATTGTGTTGGTGATGGGCATCTGAATGTGGGGACACACAAACCTTCGCCGAAACACGTCCCAACAGTCACGAAGTTGCGGAATATTGTCAATGGTTTGCTTATGGCGCAAAGGGCTTATGGAGCCCAACTTTGGCTGAGAAGATATTCGAGGAAGTGGGGGAAATGATTGTGGGGAAAATATGGCGTTGTTGAAACCTGGTGAAATTATGGTGGGATGTCTAAAAAAGGGGGGATCATGCGAAGGCTTCTGACTGTTTCATATTCATTGTGTTGGTGATGGGCATCTGAATGTGGGGACACACAAACCTTCGCCGAAACACGTCCCAACAGTCACGAAGTTGCGGAATATTGTCAATGGTTTGCTTATGGCGCAAAGGGCTTATGGAGCCCAACTTTGGCTGAGAAGATATTCGAGGAAGTGGGGGAAATGATTGTGGGGAAAATATGGCGTTGTTGAAACCTGGTGAAATTATGGTGGGATGTCTAAAAAAGGGGGGATCATGCGAAGGCTTCTGACTGTTTCATATTCATTGTGTTGGTGATGGGCATCTGAATGTGGGGACACACAAACCTTCGCCGAAACACGTCCCAACAGTCACGAAGTTGCGGAATATTGTCAATGGTTTGCTTATGGCGCAAAGGGCTTATGGAGCCCAACTTTGGCTGAGAAGATATTCGAGGAAGTGGGGGAAATGATTGTGGGGAAAATATGGCGTTGTTGAAACCTGGTGAAATTATGGTGGGATGTCTAAAAAAGGGGGGATCATGCGAAGGCTTCTGACTGTTTCATATTCATTGTGTTGGTGATGGGCATCTGAATGTGGGGACACACAAACCTTCGCCGAAACACGTCCCAACAGTCACGAAGTTGCGGAATATTGTCAATGGTTTGCTTATGGCGCAAAGGGCTTATGGAGCCCAACTTTGGCTGAGAAGATATTCGAGGAAGTGGGGGAAATGATTGTGGGGAAAATATGGCGTTGTTGAAACCTGGTGAAATTATGGTGGGATGTCTAAAAAAGGGGGGATCATGCGAAGGCTTCTGACTGTTTCATATTCATTGTGTTGGTGATGGGCATCTGAATGTGGGGACACACAAACCTTCGCCGAAACACGTCCCAACAGTCACGAAGTTGCGGAATATTGTCAATGGTTTGCTTATGGCGCAAAGGGCTTATGGAGCCCAACTTTGGCTGAGAAGATATTCGAGGAAGTGGGGGAAATGATTGTGGGGAAAATATGGCGTTGTTGAAACCTGGTGAAATTATGGTGGGATGTCTAAAAAAGGGGGGATCATGCGAAGGCTTCTGACTGTTTCATATTCATTGTGTTGGTGATGGGCATCTGAATGTGGGGACACACAAGAAGTTTCAGAAATCAACTTCCGACGGGGGTAAAACAGAGGAGAAATTTTTTAGAGAATCCACAATGATGATGGTTAAAACTCTTCTAGTTCTATCCTGGGATGCATGGAGAACAAGAAAACGTTGGTGTTTTGGCTTATAGGTTAATCCTGACTAATAGAACGTCCCAGCACCCGGACCCTGCGCAACATAGTGGAAAACTATAACCGAAAGTCGAAATTTTTCCGGTTCTGGCCTGCACTGATTTAAGAGAAACAACAAAATCTGCTTCAAAGACTCTCCAATTCAGCCATATCAGCATGATTCGGTCTTCACAACGAGCGGCTAGAGAAAATTGGCAAAATTGAGAGAAAGCTTGGGCTTCGGTCATCAATTCGAACAGAAAGTAAAAGTTCTCTGTGATTCTAATCGTGACTCTAAGCGTAATATCATCGGTCGTTACAGCCTCGAACAACTATACTTACACTAATATCATCGTTACTGCCTCGTACAACTAATATCGTCGGTCGTCGCTAGGCTCTACCTCGTACAAGTATGCATACTTCTCAGTGACCACTCTCCATCCATATCATGTGAGATCTTCTAGTATCCACATATGATTCATTGCTGTGGTGCCCTTGATGGAACGAGATTCAGAGCGTGCTGTTGGTTAAAATGGCCTATCCATCACGTTGCAGTGCTAGTAGTTTACAAGCTGTAAACCTAATAATCCTTCTTCCCTGTACTACTCTTTCCAAACTTATCCACCATTAGTCGTGTTCAAAAGGAATCGTCCTTGGACTTGTAGTTTTAGTTCAAAATCAACAGCTAAAAGCAGAAGGCAAGTCTGATGCACTATCGACGCATAATGTGAGACTTGTGATTCAATTTTTTCACCTTGCTGATGGCCGTGAAAAAAATATGAGTGGCATTCTCAACTACCAACTTGGCGGGTCGTCTAGCAGCACAGCTGCGAGCTCGTTCTGCGACATCCGTTTCCGTTCGACGCACAGCTATTCTGTGCAAGAAGACGAGCACGACGACAGCCGGGTGTACACCACTAGCCGCGAGGCTGGTTCCTCCATGGGAAGAAAGACAAGAAAGATGATGAGGAAAGGCACAAGTAGAGAGAAAGACGAGACGAGACGAGACGAGGCGAGACGTCGACAAGGTATTCTTCTCATCACTGTGTACCTTATATGAATACACTTTTGTCTAATAAGCAAGAAGACATCATCTTTGGGAAGATTGATGCACTTTCCTGCTCTGTGCAGGTCACTTACACGAATGTACTCTACCTTGTTCATTCTGAAAGAAGTACTAACATGACTTCGATAGGAGAGAAGTTATTCCCTGTTGTACCCATTTTCCTGCAGGTCAACAGGGCAGTCGCGATGGAAAGCGCAGGCGACCAGCGGAGACCCTGTTTGCCACGTCTTCGGCTGCGTTACTTCACTCTTGCGGCGTTTCTTTGGTGGCCGGCCGGCAAGTGGCTGCTCCGAACGACTCTATCGAGAACCTTATGGCAAGTAACAACCTATTTTTGGGATGATGAGGTGGTCGTATTGTAGGTGATTTTTCTCTTCCCTCTTTTACGCAAGAAGAGAACAAGTCACATGACCGCCTAGAAGGAAGTAGAACGAACCTCTATTTTTTGATTCTTTTACTTCGCTCTAATTCTTGCAGCGAATGGGTGGGTGGTGAAGCTCAAGACACATGAGACGAGACCATCACTTCTCCTGTGTTCTCTGGTCATATAGGAAGAAATTCGGATGATAGTCATGGGCGCCGCAGCACGACTGAGCACACAGAGCATCGGACCGCCAGCGAGGTCCGTCGAAGTAGAACGACCGTCACCGTGGATGAACTAGGGGATTTGCAACTGCTCGACGAGTCGAGGGCCGATGGCGACGCTTTGATGCAAGTGGTGGATGAGAGTGCGCAACAAGATGTAACTGGA